GGATCATCCACATGGTACGACCTGGCGTTTACAGACTCCTGAAGGTACGAACCTGGGAACCTGAAATCCGATCATGGAACGCCATGAATCTCAAGAGATACTATCATTAGGTACCTAAATTCCTTGAACTACGCTAGGCTTGATCCCTTGACTGGGTACGTAGGCAACTCTGTCGTGAGTGCAGCCCCAACCTCGTTTCGACATTCTTTTCACCATAACCAAAGGGGGCATATGTTTAAAAGCACATAGCTCAGACAGCAACTGTATGATGGCTACAACGCGATGTATTCTATAAAGGTTATCAATGAAACAATTACGTTAAACATCTTGAGTTTTAGCAACATATAAGGTCTTAAAATCCTTCAAACGAATTCAGGTCTCCGTGAACCTGAACCTAAGGTCTTAAAATCCTTCAAACGAATCAAGGTCCCTACGAACCGGGACCTAAGGTCTTAAAATCCTTCAAACAAATCCAGGTCCCTGCGAACCTGGACCTAAGGTCTTAAAAATCCCTCAAACGAACTCAGGTCCCTACGAACCTGAACCTAAGGACTTAAAATCCTTAGTAAATTCGGAAGTCTTGAAAACTTCCAAACGAATCCAGATTTGCGTGAATCTACCCTTAATGGCCTTAAAAGCTCTTTAGAAAGAATTTAGATCCCTAAAGATCTTAATCTAGTCTCGAAGATTCAGGAACTCATTCCTGATAATCTCACGACCAATCACAATCGAAATCACTGTGACCTCTAAGGTCACGAGGTCAGCTGTTAACGAGATCCGCGATCTGATTCCGGAAAGATTATATGAATCCCAGACTTAAAAAGTCACAGTACATGACTCGAGTTTACACTTCGAAGTCAAACAAATCCAGGTCCCCATGAACCTGGACCTAAGGTCTTAAAATCCTTCAAAAAATCTAGGTCCCTACGGACCTGGACCTAAGGTCTTAAAATCCTTCGAACGAATTCAGGTCTCCGTGAACCTAAACCTAAGGTCTTAAAATCCTTCAGACTAATTCAGGTCCCCATAAACCTAAACCTAAGGTCTTAAAATCCTTAGTAACCTCAAAGGTCTTAAAATCCTTAATAACCGCAAAGGTCTTAAAATCCTTAGTAACCTCAAAGGTCTTAAAATCCTTTAAACAAGCTAATTCAGGTTCCCAAAGAACCTCATTCTAAGGTCTTAAAACCCTTAATGAAACTCAAGGTCTTAAAATCCTTCGAAAACAAATCCAGGTTCCCAAAGAACCTCAATCTAAGGTCTTAAAACCCTTATCAAAACTCAAGGTCTTAAAACCCTTCGAAAACAAATTCAGGTTCCCAAAGAACCTCAATCTAAGGTCTTAAAACCCTTATCAAAACTCAAGGTCTTAAAACCCTTCGAAAACAAATCCAGGTTCCCAAAGAACCTCAATC